AGTGAAAGTGTTACTGTCAGTCATTGCTGTAGTTAGTCTCTCAGATAGTGAGTTGTTTTTGTTTTTTGTAATCTTTGCATTGCAGTTTTGCTCCTGTTTGTGAGATGACTGCTCGATGTCATATACATTAAGTTTGTGGTGAAATGAGGCTGAAAAAAAAACTGTTCTGTTTCCTTTTTAGATCTGTTACTTCAGATTTGCATTTCACGTCAGTGGCATCCAAAGCTCAATAACATCAAATCATTTCATAGTAAAGATACTATATTAAAGGACGGTTTCTTATATTGTCACGAAGTCTGGCTGTTTCTCTTGGCAGGAGGAAAAAAAGCTTAGCTAAGACACTTTCAGTGTGCACCATAGTTCATTCCTATCACCACACTTACCACAAATTGTCCCTCCTCCTATGATGTGATACTAGATACAGAGAAATTAGTCATCTTTTTCAGGGTAGTTTTTGAAATGATTGGTTTCCTGTCAGGTCTCAGTATCCAGACTTCCTGTCAGAGTGAAGGTGAAGTTAAAAAGTGTTTCTCAGGTGTGAGGTGAATTTCTTTCTGCTGAGCACAGTGATATGCTTCCTGCTCTAATCTTGTTTCACTTGAAGGAAGCCGGTCGTTTGGAGCACTTTGACCCCTTCTGAGTTTGATCATCATATGACTAAAGGACCGTGTGTCGTTGAGTCGATCAAAGGTTCTTAAGAGTGGAATACTTTTTGCGTTGGATTTGAAATATTTAAGCTGTCCTTTTTAATGAAGGCATGCTGGATTTCCTCATGGAAAGCAGCTGTAGCTTGGATTGTTTGGAGTAGCAGGTAGGAGTGGATTTAAGATGACCTGCATTCATTTTATGCTGTTATTTGATGGTTGTTCTTCTTTTCTTATTTTTATCCAGTATAGTCTCTCTTTATGATAATAGATTATCAGTTTCCAAGTGTTGCTTTGAGCCATTCTTCATGCTGCAGTCAGTAGTGTCCAGTGAAACAGAGACAGTATTGTCACCGATTATAGTGGTGTGGCATGTAGTGCACAAAAATCCCGTCCTCGGTAAACCTGAAATGTCAGTTATGACCAAAAAGAATGGACGGTACTTGTGCATTAGTAATGTTTACAGATAAAGAAAGCAGTATCTTTATTTTAAAGGGATTTATTGTTCTTATTTCCTACACCATATATATTTTTATTCTCCAACTGGTTTCTTGATTTATACTTCAAAATAATCATTAATCTTTTCATGCGCTGACTTGAAGCAGCCCCTCAGTTTTAGCTCCTGTCCTTTGAAGGTTACCTCCACTTTAAATGGATAAATGGTGTTTGGCTATCCCCCACAAACTGGAGTGAGCTTCTGTGTTCACAGCTAAACTGTCTGTAACTGAACATTTGTCTTGTACAGATTACTTGCACGTGTACTGACCTCATTATCTAAAACTTGGACCTTTTTTAATATGAGCATCAACCATTGTAACGCACATATTGCAAATATGCAAGTAAAAGCATAATGTTTCTCCTATAAAGTAAATAAAATCCACAGAACATCATTTTAAGAACCTCCAGAATTGTGACAGAATTATTTTAATCCCGTCCTTGGTCAACACGCCTTTACTGGAATACGAGCAAGTCATTTAAAGTATTGATTGTGGTATCAGAAAGAGACAGATTTGTTTGCCAATGCTGACTTTGTAAACTAAGCAGGTGTATCGATCCAGCTGACACTGACTCCTGGCGCTGCTTCCAACAAAGCTGATAATGTAGCACTAAAGGCTGCTGGGATGTATTGATATTCTATCAGGAGGAAGATGTTTTGATAAATATTTAATTCTTTGTAAATGTAGGCTTCATGTAAGTGACTGGAAGTGATGTTAAGTGGTGTAGTTCAGACTAGGATGTGGTTAGTGAAAGTGTTTAATACTGTATTTTGATGAAACTGAGAGATTTCAGAAGGCTTGGGCTCATGCTTCTCATCTTCTGCAGGTGGCGACAGACAAGGTTGCTGGTAAGCTGAGTTCTACTCTCTCATGGGTGAAGAACTCGGTGTCCCACACGGTCAGTCAGATGGCTAGCCAGGTGGCCACGCCCACATCCTTGCAGACCACTGCTACCTCCTCCTCCACCTCTTTGTCCTCGCCTGGCCTCTCCCCATCCTCGCCGGCCCAGCTCAGTCCTGATGATGTGGAGCTACTTGCCAAGCTCGAAGAGCAGAACAGGTAAGTTTCTCGTGCGAACTGACTCATGTTTGATTTCAGGTTGCGTGGCACAGGATGGACTGTATTGAACCATTCTTTGAGACAGTTTGTGATGTAGTTATAGAGGGGTGGAGAATACAGTCTGACTGGTTTGGAGATAGTTGGAAGAACTGGTTTTTGGACATTGAGACCTTACAGAGACACAAAGTTAATTTCCTCTGGACAATGTAGACTATAACCTCTGTTTGCTAGTCATGAAGCACAATCCTTTGTCAAGATTCTATTCTATAACCATTCTATTTACCATTTACCAAGATTATGATGGCATGTGACATGTGAGCAATACTCACTGACCATTTAAGGTAAACTTTGCTAATAGTAGTATTAACTATGAAGTAAGATTTTAGAAAGTTGATAGTAGGGCTGGAGAGTATATTATAAGTATATTGATATGTATTAAAATTAGGCATAGGGTAAATAGATAAAATCACTTCATATAGGGCTGTTCAAGAACAAAAGTCACAAAGTGATTTACAATTTAAAAGGGGTCTGATAATACACTTTACAGTATGCTGAATTTAATTTTATGGCGTTTTGAGAAAGGTTACCTTGTGTAAAGCTGTGCCAGCATTTATATTTTGCTTCTTTTACTCTTTGTAGTGCTTGCCCATACACTTTCTTTCTGTGCTCTGCAAGCAAACCTGGCAAGAACCTCATTGGAGCCTTCCCAATGCTATTTTAGCCAGAGCCAAAAAGAAAATCATCGGCGTTGCAATGACTTTTTTTTTTTTTAAACTGGCAGGCTGTGAGGCTTACCACTTAAGCACGGGTATCATAGGTGAACATGGGCCCGTCTGTCTGTCATGGTTCATGTCCACCACTTCAGTATTATTATTTGGACCTTTTTAATGACATTAATTCATAGCTGTACAGTTAAATGCCCATTTTAACCCAGAACGGGCCATGTGCAAGCCCAGAACGGGCCATGTGCAAGCCCAGTTTGCACCTGTGAACGATGGTTTGTTGATTTGTTGAAACAACACAAGCAAAAAGTACGGCAGAGTCAGCATACACTGTTTGGATTTAGTTGTGCGTGTCATCATGTATTTATGATACAGCCGCATGGAGACAGTGAAAAATTGACTGGAATCACATTTATTGAGTATTGTTATTTTATTTATCTTAAATAGATATACCAGAAAGTCTTACTAAGCTTCAGGGATTTTCCAGTAGCTCGTGACTGAGAAACTTGCGGCTTAATATGACCTATGAAATTATTTTTTTGTGTGTTCTGGTCACAGTTTATTTTAATAGTGTGATAAATCACACATGGCTTTCAGTACCATCTGATCATGTATTGAGCTAAGTAGAAAATACCAGTATTGTATGCCACTATTCAGTCTGAAAATACATGAATATGAGCTTTTTGGTCCACACTTCAGAGCTCTAGTTGATGGAATAGAACCTCAGTGTGACCCAGTCTAGCTCATGATGTTCTAAATGTAAGTGCTAATGGACTAAACTCAGACTGTGACAATTGCATTGAGGGAATATTCATCCTCCTGCCTAAAAATGGGAAGCAGGTTATGATGGATGATGTGAAAAGGAACTCATTATTGTATGCAGTTTGTTCTTGTCAGCAGCAGGCACACTGAAATGTGCAAATGTTGTAGGGCATCAGCTTCCTGTACACCCCAAACAAGTTGAACTTCCTCAGGAAGTACAGTTGTTTCTGGTCTGGTTTTGTTCTGCTGGTGTTTACAATAATATACTCAAAATTGCAAGTGAAAAAATTCTTTATTCTTATTGGTGCAAATACTATCTAAGATAAGTCATTATCTAATTTAATCATATAGTGGAGTGGTTGAATATTAATTATTTAAACCTTATTAAAAATCTCAAATCCACAAAACCTTTGTCTTATTATGTTGTATTTGGGCAGTTGTGCACACCTCTCTTATTACCGTCACTGAATCATTTTGCAGATCCTACAAATGTATCTTTTGCTACACATGCAGAAACACATTAGTGATGTTCAGATTGCAAACTAGCCACCTTTAGATGAAAGAGTGTAAAGTATTGATGGAATAAAAGTTAACACTCAGTAGTAGGGCTGCACGATTTTGCATAAAATGAGAATCACGATTTTTTGGCTTAGAATTGAGATCACGATTCTCTCACGATTTTCTTTTCCAGTATAAATATTTATTGCACTTATTAACTGCACATCAACTTCGTAACAGTTGAGACTGAACATAGAAACAATAAATAAACATAAAAACAACAAATGTCTCACGTTTTTTTCTTGCCGCAAAATGTTGTACTGCTTGAAATTCCGTCTCCACCATTGCTCGAGGCTGCGTGTATAGAGCAGGTAGTGCAACAATAGAAAAATATTTGCGGGACGGCACTGTGTAGCGTTTGTCTAGGGTGTTGATCATTTTCCTAAATCCCTCGTTTTGCACAGTGTTGATGGGAGCCATATCTTTGGTCAGGTGATAAGTGATAGCCTCCGTAATTTCTTTGTGCCTGCGGGAAGCGCTGTATAAGGTTCCCGTTATTGGTGTTTGGGTGGTTGACCGGGACGGATTTTCTCCTGTCACTTTCTCGTCATCCCTGACGTGCTCTCCGTTGTTTTTTCCCTGCTAATTTTAGCATCACACGGCACAGCTTCTGTATCACGTGATATAAGGCTCCGCCCTTGTCATTTGTTGAGCAGGAAGAGTGAGCGCTTGTTATCATGCAGATTACGTCCCGGATCAAAATGCGGTACAATTGTCGTCGTCGTTTTTTGTTTTTTTTAAAAAATCGTTGTCATTTGGAAATGAGATCGCACATAAGTATGAATCGAGATCGCGATTTTCTAACGATTAATCGTGCAGCCCTACTCAGTAGTTAGTCAGGTTCTAGTCTGTTAACATTTAGGTGCTTTAATAATGCCTTCTTCTCCAATAAATGCAAGATGGTGTGTTGCTTTTGATATTATATATCTGAATATGAGTATAAAGATTCTTTAGGAATAGGCAAGATTTCTATTTTCATTTTTACTCTTGGAATTTGGGGTAGTTGAAGGTGGGAGGTTAAAGGCACATGGGGAGAACAAACGAGGAATGCATTGAAACCTTCCCTTATCCATATAAGATAATTAGGTTATTGTTATTGTTCCTATTATTATTTATAGTCAGAACTGTAAACATTACCAGAAGTCTTTTCAGGATATCAGCTGGCTGCACCAGAAGCCGAAACACTGTTCCTCTGAAGCTACATTATCAGAAGATTGGGTCTGATACGTTTGTTAGGGCCTAAATATTCAACTTAAATGTAATCAAATATTTAACCATTCAGATCGTGCCCTGCCCCTCCCCCTGGGAAAGGCTCCAGTCTACTTTGAATAGTATCGTACTGCTTTGCTAAGAACAGCTTGCTCTCATGGTGCAGGCACCATGTGTTCTAAAGAGAGTGAAGTGAAGAAAGTAAGAGACCGTCTGTTGCTTCTTTCTCTCTACATCATCATTTTATATGGAAATGTGCAAGCCTCACAGTGCAAGCTTTAATTCGTGTACTTGATTTTGACTCAGCTCACTGGGTAAAGCTTCGATTGACCCCACCAAACAACTCACAAAAATTATATTCAGATCATCTCGAAGGTTTCTTAGTTTGTTGTTGACCGTTTTGTTGTTTCAGGGTGTGGAATATATTTCCGGGGTGAAGGTTCCCTGCATGTAGACTCCGAATGGAAATTTTCCCTCAGGTTGACTCGCATATTGTACCCATATTCGTGCACACTGTACTGCTAGGTAAACAGTAAACAGCTCACATGGCTGAAGCAATGTCCATTAAACATTAAAATGAAGACTATGGTCTCTTTGGGAGTGTTTTTTTTCCTGTGCTGGTTCCTCATTTAGATTCGATCAGATAAACGGTTCTTGCAACAAGATCCAGAATTTGATAAGGACTCTCAAAGCCACAACAGAGCATGTCTGGCTGTGGATGGGTTTATTTAAATATTGGATCAGTGAGAGAAGACTATAGTGTGCAGTCCCCGAGGTTCTCATTGTTCACGTCACATAAAAGTACTGTTAGAGGATGACGCAACTATTCTCTAAAGCCAGCTTTGTGAATTCTTTCCCTGCTGTAGATCTCTCCCATGGATAGTACACTCTGTGTCAGCATAGAAACCCAGTGTGCCACTCAGACTGTGTCACAGCAAAGCTCTGTTGAACGCAGCGGTCGTTGACTCATCGGTAACGCCTACCACAGCTCCTGCCCCATAATGCCAAGTGGCATTTGATTAGGCAAGATCAAAAATAATCAGAGACATGTTCTTCATAATGTCCTTTATAAAGCTCAAACCACATCCATATCTATCGAATAAAATTTTTTGTATCACAGAGCTCAAGTTCGTCTAACCTTTGACCCTTCCTTGACTTCACGATGCCCGTTTAGTGTCTTTATTTTGCCGCAAAATCCTAACGCAACCTTAATACACAAATCTTTTCATTTTGTCACTTAGGTGTTAATAAGATAGGTGCAATGGCAGGCAGGAGGACTTAGTTACAGATTCTGTGACGCGGCCTGTGGTTGTTTATCAGGTGCATGTGTGTTTGGGGAGCCCTTTGTACTCTTCAGAGCAGATAAAAGTCCGAAGCGTTGGTTCAGTGGTGTCACACAGTCGAGGAAATCCTGCACTGTTGCCTTCAATTTGTTAATGAGACTTGCCAGAATTCCTGAATTCTTAGAAAACTGAGACATGTAGAGTACATCATGAGTTTATCTTGGTAAGTTTGCAGTATTTCATTACTTATTTTCTTGAAAATTGTGGGCATGACGCACTTTTTTCCCCACTTGTCACTTTATCTGGAATGTGTTTTTGTCACTAAAATATTAGCTACAAGTTTGTTATATTCAGAAGGCTTTGGTTTTGTATTTGGCTGTTAGTGAGTTACTAGCAGAGCTGTAAGTATGTTTAGGCTCATGTTTAACACGTATTGTAATTTTTCTGAGTCACTGTTTTTGATCATTTGACTGAATTGCTTGAAAAACGGGTAGTTCCTGTGAAACTTTAGCGCTCTCTTTAGCTCGGTGTCAAAGCTGAATACAAGTAAAGAGAGGCCCTCTTGCAGGCTGTTCTGTCGGGGCCGTCCGTTTCACTCCCTCCCACACAACCCAAATTTGGCTGTAACCCTAGCCATTCGGGTAGCACACTCGGTGACATCACAGGCTCCACTGGAGAGGCCCCGTCCTTTTTCCGAGATCAGGTGTCTGAACCTTTGTTTGTGTGACATAAGCTCTTCGGTGCCACGCAGGTTGGGAGTCACCGCGTTTTTTCCCCCCACATTCTAATCTTTGATCAGGTCACTTTGTGAGTGAAAGACTGATAAGACTGATGAAGTGTGTGATAAACATGGCATACGGGCTTTTTGTGCTACTTGACATGCTGAGCACATATGAAAGAAATGAATGATATTAACAAAATGAGCCAGAAAATATTTTACTGACCTTTACAGCTTATTTTCAACCACTTACAGTTGCAGCCATTAGATTTTAAATAAATGTCATCTCTCTCTCTCACTCAACAGAAGTGTTTTAAACCCTTCTTTTTTGGTCAGCTTTCAGTCTGATTCAGTATTAACCTGTGAGATTTGGCTCATATGGTTAAAGAATATAAATGTTAGGTCACAGCATTTACCTGATTCTCTTATGTGGCCACAAGCTGTGGGTAGGGACTAGAAGAGTTAGACTGAGGATAGAAGTGGCAGAAGTAGCTTCTTCCAAAGAGTGTCCATTCTTAGAAAGAGGTTGAGGGGCTCAAAGTAGACCCACTGCTTGTCCACATCAAAAAGATCCAGCTGCATAGGATTTCCCCCTAGCTCGAGTGTTTGGGACACGTCCAGCCAGAAGAAGACAGGCTTTCAATGCCTTGGTGCATCCCTAGAAAGAAGAAAGTCTATGCATCTCTACTCACTCCACTGGCCTTTGACCCAGATCTGAATAAAGGGAAGACGGTTATTATGTGTCAAAACAGTAGCTGTTTAGATACACTAGTGTAAATAATAGTCCTCAAAAGAATGCATAAGATTTAAACTAGCTAAGTAAATATTTCCATTTGCTATAGTTTTACAGTCCTTTCTCTTTCTTCTTTTTTTAGTTTTGTTTTTAGCTTTCATATAATATCTCATGCACCTGTCATGTTGAAAGTTCTATATATATCCACACAGCTTTCATTCAAACTGTGTTTTGCATTTGCAAAGTGTTTTGCAAAATGATCTCACGATGGTCTGGGTTTCCCTGAAGATGTGAAATTGTACTTTGCCTGGTAAATGGGATGTCTGATGGACAGACATTGACAAAGTCACGGTATAATGTAGTTGCGTCTCTGCACAGTTTCTTAAATGTTCACAGTATATCTCGCCTCTCACCTTCTCTAAAGGCTACTGGAGACAGACAGCAAGTCGCTGCGCTCCATGAATGGCTCCAGGCGAAACAGTGGCTCATCCCTGGTGTCCAGTTCCTCCGCCTCATCCAACCTCTCCCACCTGGAGGAGGACTCATGGATCTTGTGGGGGCGAATTGTCAATGAGTGGGAGGAAGTGCGCAAGAAGAAAGAGAAGCAGCTTAAGGTGAGACTCGTGCACATGACTACCTGTGAGGTGACGGTTGATCATGTGCAGACCTGCTTAAGAGCTTATTCAGCCTGGGCTGTTTTACTAGCTTACAAATAGACATTTGACGCCTTGAAGACGAGGTAAAGAGCCTTCTCTCAGCTGCTCCTTTACTCACACGGGGTCAGCAAAACAGATAGCTGTGCATATTTGATTTAGCAGAATTTGATGCCATTCCTCGCAAAACACCAAATGGGATTTGCGTCTCCTCCTAGTCTCAAACCTGTATAAACCTCTTCACACTTACACTTAAAAACAGTAAAACTCCATGACAGTTATTCTAGGTTGCAAAAAAGGGTCCAATGATGCTGCTGTTTCTGCATTAAGATTGTTTAACTTAACATATTTCAAATCATGGCTTATTTGTTTTATTGTTATTATAATTGTGTTTATAATTTTTTGCTGCCATTTGAATTTCCCTGGCTCAAATGTTAGAAAGGCCCAGTTCACGTGACTGTTTACTTGGTCCAGTGATAATTTAAAGGCTATCTCTGTCCTCAGTGACCCTGTGGGGTTGCCCTTGAACTTGTTATTTCAGACGTAGATATTTGACGCTAATTTTAGCTTGCTTGTTTCTACAGTTACTCTGTTAAGCCCCGTAATAATCCTGTGCCCAGACAGTGGCAGTCTGATTTAAACTGCACAAAGACTGTGGACATACACAGTGATTGTTGTTTGTTGTGTAAAACCGTGCCAGGTGTGTGTTGGACCACCTGATTGTAGCCACAAGTCTGGGATAGTGGTGATTCAGCAGAAAGCCTGGTGTGTCCGGATGTTAAACGACTCAGTGCAGCTGCAACAGTTTGAAAGTTACTGGGGATCTACAGTTGGTGCTTTTTATCTTTATGCACTGAGTGTTGTTAATGGAAGTTTTGTTGAATTCCACTCAAACTGAAGCCTTCTTTGGGTCATTTAGGAAAACTGACAACCAGTAGCTGTGCCAGAACAGCTAGGTGCTCAGCATTTATGGTCAGACGTTTGTTATAACCATAGAGACTTCAAGCCCATTTCTTTTTGTTACTTAGATGACTGACACAGAGAAATATTTTACTGTAAAGCTTCTGTTAATTAAAATAATCATGCAAAAGACTAATGTCTTCTGTAGGGACGGAGTTTCTGTTGTTCTTGTTGCTGGATGTTTAAATGGGGAAGTGCTGGGAAGGAGCTGTGAACATACACAGTGTTATTATGTAATTTAACAGAAGTAGTCATCATCGCATGGGTGCAACTAGCCTAGGATATTAATGACAGTTGCTGAGGCCTCCGCAAAATTGCTGTTTTCTTCCGCTCTGCTTACAAGAAACACAGTTTCTGTTGCACGAAGGAAGAAACGTAAATTTTTTCTGCACTTGTCAGCAAAATCCCTGATTTGTTCGTCTTTCTAATACTTTATATTTCATATGTAATCTTCTAAGACCCTCTGCTCTTGAATAGTTCTTGTGACTCATAAGGCAGCTTTCGTTCAACAGTCAAGGTTTGAGACTGTGGTGCATTGTTTCAGTCCAGAACAAAGCTTGGTTTGTCTTATCTAACCTCTAAGAGGGGAGAGGGGTCCCCTGCTGAAAGCATGTGTGGGTGGACCTCTGCTCCAGATGCACCCTGGACTGACCAGATGCACGCAGACACCGCACACAGACAGACATACACAACCACACACTCACTCACATGGCCGCATAGCAGGAAAAATGACTGTTCCCTGTCAGCACAGGAAATTGCTTAATCAAATTGTATCATCAGTAGTATATGGAAATAAATCACTCTACAGAATGTATCACTGACAAGATTATGTTTGGCAGTGGAAACTGTATTATTATAAAAGATGCACAGTGTGCTGAAGTGGAAAAAGAAATATTAGGCTTTGAGGCATACCCATGGTTTAATCCTGTTTAAGATGCAGGTCTCTGTTTTTCTCCACGGAAGGGTTTGGTGTTTTTCTTTCTGTTGTTCACATTCAGAGCTGAAAAAAGAATCCCAAATGTGCGTTTAGGTTCCCATGGATTCATTTTACATTGTCATGGTTTCCCCTACCATTAAACTCATGAAGCTAGTCCACTGCCTCTCTGGGGAGATGTTTTTATGATAAACTGTTCAGTGTGGGGAAAAAAAACAACCTTTTGCGATCCATTTGTGGTTCGACGCGTCCACTGAAGGGGAAACCAGTACTGATAAGGATTCCTCCAAGTTGAGTGGAAATAAGTAAGTCATCATTTTTCGCAGTATAAAGGTGTTTCAAATGAATGAATAGAGTTGCGGAGCTCTTAGTATTTTTTTCACTTATACTCTGGCAGATGTAATATGAAAAGCTTTTTTTCACATTACAAAAAGTGAAGAAGTGCAGACTTTTTAGAAAAAAAAGTTATTTATTAACATCAGCTACATGCTCTAGCTGCATGACTACACTATTTAAGAGACATCCACAGTGATTTACACTACCACGTGTATGCCTGTGTACGCGAATGCTGGATTTCCACTAATGAATTAGAAACTCATTGGCCTGATGAGCCTGAGTTGACTCTCTGACAGACCTGTGCACTAAAGATTTTAACTATTTTAACCTACAACGGATACATTTGCGTTATTAGACTGCGATTCCCATGAAAAGATTTTTGACACACACAAAAAACATAATTTAAATGTATACTTTATTGATCCTCGTGGGGAAATTCCTCTCTGCATTTAAAACATTCACTCAGTGAAGCAGTGGGCAGCCACTGGGCACTCGGGGAGCAGTGTGTAGGGACGGTACCTTGCTCAGGGGTGCCTCAGGGTAGCTGTTCAGGCGAATCGAACCCCCAACCTTCCAATCATGGGGCTGTCACTCTACCTACTGAGCTATCCCTGACCCATGCAGATCATAAAGAAGTTGAAAAACGATTGGAAAAACAAGGTGCTATAAGTTGGTACTATTTTACCTGTTTAACTAGTATCCATACACTTACCTGGGCCAAACAAGGTAGTGCAAGTCCTGCATGAGAGGATGAGAACAAGGCTAAACATGATTGCGGGTTCTCCTGCTGGTATTGATCGACGTTTCTTGGAATAAGGAATTAAACTTCTAAATGATATGACTTTCTGGTGAATGGTTATTCAATGTGCATTCACTGCCACGTTTGTGTGACTGGATATTAAATCTGACACTATCATAAAACCTGAACGAAGAACAAAACTGTTTCATTTTAAAAAGTTGTTGCCTACACCCTGCAGAAAACTTTAAGAACATCAAGAAAATATCTGCTCTTTTTTTCTCTCTACAGGATCTTGTTAGGAAAGGGGTTCCTCATCATTTTCGAGCTATAGTGTGGCAGCTGTTGTGTAATGCCCAGAATATGCCCATCAAGGATCAGTACTCAGAATTATTAAAGATGACGTCACCCTGCGAAAAGCTCATACGCAGAGACATCGCTCGCACTTATCCCGAACACGAGTTCTTCAAGGAGAAAGACAGCTTGGGTCAGGAAGTGCTCTTCAATGTCATGAAGGTGTGTCTTCTGCGGTGTCTAAGAAACCTGTTTGCATGCAGATAAAGAGATAAGTCTTGTGTTCCAGTAACAAGAACTGGTATTTGGTTTTAAGGTGGTTTAATAAAGAAAAAGAGAGAAATCTGATCTTCAGTGAGACTCCTGTAACGATAATCTCTATTACCTTAGGCATATTCTCTGGTGGACCGTGAGGTCGGCTATTGTCAGGGAAGTGCGTTCATTGTGGGTCTGCTGCTCATGCAGGTAATGATTGTATTCTCCACACATACTCTCACACACTGTAACACAAACTTCCAGCTAGTAATTTGATCACTATCATAATATTTTTCTAGATGCCCGAAGAGGAAGCATTCTGCGTGTTTGTGAAGTTGATGCAGGACTACAGATTACGAGAACTCTTCAAACCCAGCATGGCTGAGCTGGGACTCTGCATGTATCAGTTTGAGTACATGATCCAGGTAGACACCTCATAGCTTGGGGAGTAACGCTTTGCCAACACGTAAGCTTCAACAATAGTGAGTCTGATTGTTATTTTTTTTCACAGGAGCAACTCCCAGAGCTTCATATACATTTCCAAGCTCAGAGCTTTCATACCTCCATGTATGCCTCTTCTTGGTTCCTCACCATCTTCCTCACCTCCTTCCCTTTGCCCGTTGCTACGAGGATCTTTGACATCTTCATGTGTGAGGTCAGTTAAAGCAAACTGTGGCTGAATGATAAGCTCTGTAAACTTGTATGAATCTTTCTGTCATTCTCTTTACTGAGCTTGAAATTTACACCTGTGTTCACATTCTTACAGCACTGGCTTCTTCTGTCTTCTTTTTTCTTTAAACTTCTGTTTGCTTGTAGTTTTTGCGATCTAAAAGAGGAACTAAAACTGCTGGTTTCTGCCAGTGTATGAACTGAGGGGGTGCACCAAGGCCCAGGATTGATTTTGAACTGTGACTCATGCAAAGCTACTCTAGTAAAGCCTGTGAATAAAAACGTTGAGCTGGAAATGAGTGCAATAGGTCCACTTGGATATGAGCCATCATTATATCAGTGTCTAATCTGAAAAGGGTTTGGGGGTTATATCTTAAGCTGCTGTTATTGTAAGTCACTGTGAACTAATAGCCCCACCTCAGAAAAACAGAGTCTGTGCTTAAAATTTTAAGAGTATTTATTTAGAGATGATTTCAGGCCAGTACACTTATTCTACAGCTTTAAGAACAGTTAGGTAAAATCAGCTATCAAATAAAAGTTATCCATTAGTGCCACCTGTTGGACAAAATTAAGCACTACAGTTACAGTCACCTTTAGCAGTGTGGCCTTTTTCTTTTTCTCTAAATCACAATCACTCGGGCTGTTTCTTGTCAGTCCACTATCCAATAAATTTGACAGCGCACTGAGTATTATTTCATGCTCATTACTGGTGGGGTTTTTTCAGGGCCTGGAGATTGTTTTCCGCGTGGGGCTCGCCATCTTGCAGATGAACCAGGCGGAACTCATTCAGCTCGACATGGAGGGAATGTTACAGGTGAATCACCAGCAGCACTTCCAGGGGAGAAGCCTCCATCACCCTCTGTTTATGTGCAACCTCTCATCTCGTCCCAGTTTGTGGGCATGCTGATGTTTAGTGCGGTCCTTTGAGGTCAGAGAAGCTTGTGACTAAAACATGCATTCTGGTGTGACACTTGTCCCCGCTTTCTTTATGTGCTTCAGCACTTTCAGAAGGTCATCCCACACCAGTTGGACAGTGGACCAGATAAGGTCATCCAGGCTGCTTATCAAGTTAAATACAATGCCAAGAAGATGAAAAAGTAAGCGCAGCAGGCATTTCATAACTTCCTTTTTCAGAGATTTTTTTTTTGTTGCTGTGATTGTTTTTTCATTGTTCCTCTTTTACAGCTTAACCCCCTTTTTGTTTTTTTGTTTTTAAACTGTTGCATAACTTTAGACAAGATTTTTCAGTCAGCACTGGAGCAAATTGACTGCTAATATTTGAATGCTGCAAATTCAAAACTTGGTTGATACCCATTCCAAGTGGAGGAAGCAACACATTTAAACGTTCTGTGTACCTGTTCAGTATAGGGGCCAGGGAAATTCCAGAGTTTCCATTTGTAATGGTGTCTCTTTAAAGAAACGTATATCTTTTTTAGAAGCAATAAAATATAGAAGACAAAAGGAAAGGGGATTGTATCCCAAATTGATACATGGAAATCAATTCAGCCGACTTCATTCTAATCATTCTGTGCTTGATTTGTTTTAACAGATGCTCTGTGCTTTTCTTTTTTTTAGGTTAGAAAAAGAGTACACTACAATCAAAACAAAAGAGATGGAGGAACAGGTGGAGATAAAGGTGTGTGGACATACTTTAAAGTCCCAGAGCATCCCATGTAAACAATTTGTAGTATTTTTTTTTTCTCATGTCTTTTTGCAATTCTGTCTTTTTCAGAGGTTGCGGACAGAGAACAGGCTTCTGAAGCAGAGGATAGACACACTAGAGAAAGTGAGTGAATCAGTGTTTGTCACAGTCAGACACTGCGCTCTCCTCATCAACTTTACATTAACCCATTCTGCTGTTTATGTCCATATATCATGTGTATTTCCTAATGACGGAGTCTTGTCTTTCACTAACTGGGCTGTGTTAGTTGAAAGTTGCTGGTACGCCATCATGGACTGGCATGGTGAATGTTCTGATTGTAGATAAAGTCAGAAACATTGATGGATTTGGGCTTTAGGTCATGTGGAGAATTTAAAAACCCAGCTGACCCCACTAACAGAAGCAGAGAAGCCTGTTTGAAATGTGAACGGAGCTGCTTGATACTTGACGTCCATACAAAGCACTGCATGTCAGGGTGCACTGTTTGTGTCATTGTGCACAACACTGAGTCTCTCTGAATGGGCACTTCTACTGCCTGGTAAAGGCACCATGCATGAGGTCTGTTGAGGATATTAAGGGTGTCTGCTACGCCGTGTTTGCCTGCAGGGCGGAAACGAGTCCGTTAGTTTAAACCAAACTCGAGGCTGCTGCTCCTCGTCACGTAACTCTCAGGATCTTTTAACTCTCCACTAACTGAAACCGCTAAAAGCTTGGATAAACCACAGAGCCCCAGCGCCTCTGTTAAGTAAAACACCGCTCTTTAACACTGTCGTCATGCTGCTATTATAGCAAACTTCACTCTCGGGCTGCCCTGTGCTTTTTCCTGTCTGAAACCTCTCTTTGTTATCTGCACCGCCCAATTCTTCACTCTGTCACCAGCTTATTTTTGCACCTTTTTCACCACACCTGCTTTGCAATGTTCCTTTTATACCTCATTGCGTAAACCAAATATTTTTGGAGGGAAAATGAACATTGCACTTCTTCTTTTAAAGAATCAGTTGTTCTTTTGTGTGCTTTAAACTGTCCTCTGGATTCTCTCTCTCTCTGCTGTCTCTTGTTGATATTTCTGTTTTGTAGGAAAGCGCTTCCTTGGCAGATAGATTGATCCAGGTATACTCCTCATTTTCTTTTTACCCTTAGAACTTATGCTGGACTTTCCTTCTTCCATCTTTTTGTCTCTCTTTAGCAATGCATGCTTATGATTAGTAAAGGGCAGTGACAGTGCTAATCCAGATTATGACAGCTGATTACATCATTAAATAACTGCATGGAAAACCACATGGTGGCATGTTAGACAAAGTAAGAGAATCACAAAAGATGCTAAATACATCTAAGGAATTAAAACTAAATCACCCGCTGCTTAGAGTTAAAAACAAGCATGTCCTTAGAAAATCCAATCCTTCATCTTCTCTGATTTGCCCACCCATTCCGTCCTTTCGTTTCACTTCCTGTCGTGCTCACTCCACCCCTCATCGGTTGGTTATGTCCAAAGGGACAAGTGACTCGAGCTCAAGAGGCAGAGGAAAACTACCTGGTCAAACGGGAGCTGGCTACAGTCAAACAGCAGAGCGAGGAGGCCGGTGCTCAGCTGGAGCAGGCCAAGAAAACCATCAAGCAGCTCCAGCAGCAGCAGCAGCCACAAGGGGTAAGAAGAGCCACAGACAGTCTGAGGCAGGCAGGTTGCACTGGCTCATCTGGCTGACCTGAGTGTGACTGGAGCTGTGACACTGAGACTGGGGTATTGCCCAGGTCTGTGTGTGATGTGCAGTACGTACAACCTCAGGATGACTATTTTATTATTATTATTAGGTGTGCTACAGATTACATTTGGGCCTGTAAACATTGCAAACAACTGATTTTGGGTACATGGTGGGGCATCTGCAATGGCAGAGCAGGACTTTTCTCACTTTAGGTAATGATCTGTTTTGGCATGCATGGATTCATTTTGAGACACAGATTTCTACAAAGTTCAATTTATGTTCTTCTGCATTCTCAGAAATGCTTTCATGAATTTGTAAGCAGGTTGTATTTCAGGCTGGTAGATTTCACACATGGCCCCCTGTTCATTGAATCCTCACCTTGCACAACACATCTCCTTAATTATTAATGGTTGGATTCCACATGATAATGTGCAGGCTTTACTGTGTTTTACATAATTTGCTGTCTTGCTACACAAAGATTGTTCATGAATTATTTATGTGGAAGTGAAAGGAAAAATGGTTGATGTCAGCTGAAATGAATGTAAAGAGGAATAGAGAGTACTTGGATCAGTGTAAGTATTGTGGACATTACTGGAGATTGAATTTAGTTTGAGGTGAGTGCACACAGCTATGTCTGCTGTCCTTCCTGCTTTTTTTCTGCTTGCTCATTTGTTCTGTTTTTTCTTTTCTTTTCTTTTTTGTTCCTTGTAGAAAGGACCCCCACGCTTCTCTGAGGAGTCCGTCCTGCAGCTGGAGAGAGAGCTCGTGCAGGCCCGACTAAAGGAAGCAGAGTCCCAGTGTGCACTCAAGGAAATGCAAGACAAGATTCTCGATATGGAAAAAGTGAGTTGTGTCATTTTAATGCATCTGCAGTGGGACTGTACTGCCTAAACCTCAGCCGGCAAAGAGTATTACTGTGATCTAGGCCTACCCTGTCATTTCTTTTTTTAAAGGTTTAAGAAAAATTTGATTTTTCCACCTTTTTCAGAGGAACACATCGCTACCAGATGACACCAATGTGGCGCGGCTGCAAGAAGAGCTGATCGGGGTGAAGTTGAGAGAAGCGGAGGCGCTGACTGGACTGAAAGAGCTGAGACAGCAGGTTAGAGATCTGGAGGACCACTGGCAGGTGAGCACCAAGATTTCAGCACGCAGGACAACTTGAAATGGCTGATCAAAACGCCAACAGATCATAATGCAAATGTTGTACACACACACACCAAACTACGCTGTTTAAAATCAGAGTGGATTTTGGTTTTCAAAAAGTATTTAAATATTCTAAATTTAGATTGCTTTTAGTCATGCCATTGTGAGAAACGCTCATATGCAGTGCTTCTGTTTTTTCTCCCTCTGCACACTTAAACGCAACTGCATAATTAAGGCTGTGAAGTTTTAACAGCACAGTACTTGTGTTCAAACAGTGATTCATGAGTTTGACTACAGTAATTATTTAAGATAGAATGGGTTTAATTCAGAACATTTGATTTGGCTTAATTGCCGTTTAATTAATCCATTCAGGCTGATTGAAAACATGAAACATGTGAAAACTTGAACAGATAGGTTGGTTAACTCAGCTGTAGTACTTAGTTTAAAGAAAGATGAAGGTGCAAGTTTAAGCTAGTTAAAGGAGCTGTTTCAAACCTTGAACAATGGCTTATCATTTAGAGTAAAAATAATATTTTTGTTTTCTTCTCACATTTATTAAAAACATTTTGAAAAAAATTCTTGCTCTAATTAGACACATCTGTGTGTTTATTTGAAGAGGGTACATTTTCCCTTTTGATGTGTATTTCCATTTAAAGTCGTATTAAGAGAATTTGCAGGTACCCTGTAATTCCTGCTAGTTACAGAGCACAGATCTAGTATGACACACAAATGGTAAAAGTCAAGTGTTTATTTGGTAAGTGATGGTAAACAGGACTGACTGTCCCCGCCCTCTCCAGCGTCACTTGGCACGCACCGCTAGCCGCTGGAAGGACAGTCCTAAGAAGAACACCATGAGCGAGCTGCAGGACGAGTTGATGAGCGTCAGGCTACGTGAGGCCGAGGCTCAGGCAGAGCTTCGAGAGATGCGGCAAAGGATGTTGGAGCTGGAGACACAGGTCAGAGGTTGAATCGGTCTAACAGCACTAATATAATTTATGATTTGATTTGTTATCTGGATTATAACCTGATCTAGATCTTTAAAAGCATTATTCAAATTCCTCATCACATGTTCACAAATATATGTGATTCAGATATCCTTCTCAGTCCAGAGATACAATTCATACTGTATGCAGTCTTTAGGAAGAGACTTTTGTTTTCAGAGTTTTTATGTACTTGCAGTGCAGTTAATTACAGACAATTAAAGGTACATTGTAATATGAAAACATCAGTAATAAAAGTGAATGTGCATTAAGTGTGATAAGTAGTAAATATGCTGGAAAATAAGGGAATTCCCTCCCTGAATTTCACACAGCAGCCTTCAGGGGGCAGCATTTATCTTTGTATGCAACACAGAAACTGGAACAGTGAAGTAGTGCTGAAAGTCGCATTAGGTTTCAGTTTCTTTATCCTGAACCTATCAGTCAATAACGTGAAATAATCCGCTTTTGCTTTTTGTTTTTTCAATGTGCTTATTCAGAATCAGATTCACAACAACCAGCTGCGTCGAGCAGAGCAGGAGAGTCGCTCTCTGCAGGAGCGCGTGCAGAAACTGACAACACAAAACAAAGATCTGAACGTGCAACTGCAAGAAATCAAGAGGAGACAAGCTGAGATTGAATGCAAGGTACAAACTGCTGCTGCACTCCACACTTTGCACCTTTGGGGCAAACCGTTGCAGCGCTATTGTGGTTTAAATCTGTAAAGTTAAAAAAAAAAAAGAATTGATTTCTTAGAGAGGTTGTCGCCTGAGAGTTCTCTGGTTTGTTTTCTGCAGAGCAAGGAAGAAGTAATGGCAGTGAGGCTGAGGGAAGCTGACAACATTGCTGCTATGGCTGAACTCCAGCAACAGATCTCTGAGCTCGAGATTCAGGTAAGGTTTTGACTCACACTTCACCCACTGCACCAAGCTTTGGATTTCCTCAACTCCCTCACAAACCACATTACATGTAAGCTTCCTTCAGCCATAAAAGGAAATGTCCCATACAAGGATGTGGTGACAAACCCAAGTTATATTTTTTGGGCCCTATGAACACATCATCCAAAGTTATAACCATAATAGTGACTGTTTGACCTGGCAGATTTGTGGTTTTCAGTCTGAGCTTCTTTACTGGTTTAAGATATGCAGAAGGGAAAGAAAATGTCTGAATTTCCATTAATCAATCAGCATTTCAAAGCTTTGATGATATGAATCTCATGTATTGTTTCCTTATGTTGCCTAGGAGACACCAGTGTCAATCAAATCTGGTAAAGCCGCAACCTCTTCCGGTTCCAATGAAGCGCATTTTAACTTTTTAAACTGTTATTACATAACCCAAATACGTATGCAGATCTGTTGGAAATTCTGAAAAAATGCACTTTAATTGATTTTAGTTGATGTGGAAAACTTGGGGGGGGGAAGGCTTTTTTGCACAAATCAGAAATATTAAAGCATGTCCCCTTCATCTATATTTATTCCCAGCGTAAATGGGAATTACAAGTCTTAACAAGCAGGAGAGAAGGAAGTAGTAGCATTTATCCCACCAATGAATTCAACATACTCCACAAGCTTAACCAAAAACAAATACAGGCCTGTTCTCCCAGTGACAACACTCAACAATACTAAAGAGAGAAAGTGATCTAAAAAGACTTGATATTGTTGAAGGTGTTTATGGGTTCAACACTTCTCACACCATGCCACTTTCATACAAGTAAAGATACTCGATGAATAGTGAGTGTTGCAACAAGCAGATAATCTTGTTGTGTGTAAACTGGCTATAGGGCATGGGTGTGAAAATGGAATTTAAATATCTGTGAAGATGGTTTCCGTTATGATTTTAAACACTTGGCTTGTACAAGCACCCTTCTAGAAAAAACACGCAATGCAGCCCTGAGCATTTTGACATTAACCAGTCCTTAACTTGCTAGATCCTTATTACAGAGTCCAGTGCTTTCACCGCTAGTGAGTTTGTGTCATGTGTGTCTTATGGTCTCCAAGCCAAAGTGTTTCCATATGAGGAAAGAAAACTTAGGAAAATATCCCCACCTGATTCGAATAAGGTTTGAATAAGGTTAAAGTCTTCTGTCATTTTTGGGACAGATTTTGGGGGATTTTTCAATCCACTTATTTGGAAGCTGGCTGTGGGAGCCACCAGTATAATATCTATTTTCCTGTTTTCTCTGTGTGGCTGCACTGAACCCACACACACAGATAAGTCACAAACACCTTCATAGAACACTTCTGACGTCTTCAGTTATAGAAACTGGGGGATGTCCAGTGATGCCTTGCACTGAAACACTTGAAGCAACTCTGCGGATGCTCAACTTTGTGCTTTTCTTTTTTTATTCCTGTTGCGTGCACCTGGAATTGCTCAGGAGTTTCTCCAGTATAGCAGGACATACAGCCCTACAAGAAGAAGGCCCTTCTGTCACATCTGCTTTGCATAACCACCCACTGCAGTTTTCCAGATCTTTTTGAAATTTCCCATGCTTTTGAACGTAACACCAGACTTTTTCACACGCACCACAATCAATATCCCTCTCTTTAAATATCAGTGAGCTGGTGACATTATCAAGCCGCTTCTTCAAAAATTGTCAGCTGAAAGTTTTAAATGTTTTCAGTAGGACTGGGCGATATGACCCAAATAGGGCTGGGCCATATTATACCGTTCACGGTAATACCGGTATAATGTTAGGCAACGATAGGAAAATGAAATATCGCGATAGAATATGAGTAAAACGCGCATGCGCAGTGCCTTTGTTTTCATACGCACATGGCCGATTGTTGAGTGAAACAGATGAACCAGAATTGGTTTGTAAAAATGGTGCAACTTCAGTGATGTGGAACTGGTTTGGTGTTTGTCCGTCAGATACACAACAAAGCACATTTTTTTGCAGAACATGCAAGCGGCCGTCGTTATTGTCGTATTTGTCGGACTAAGATGCTCTTAAATCTGGGAGTAATCTGGGTCCTAAACTCCGTATCTTCAGGTCAAACGAACACTGCAGCATCACTAAGAGTTAAACACTGTCTAAATTCTTTCATCTTTAATAAAACGATCAGCATTGCTGCTTTACCAGGTGTAACTATGAGTTTAACTTCCAGGCATCCATGAAAACAAAATGTATTACATTTAACGGAGTTAGAAGCTAGCAGGAAGCTAGCGGAAGTTAGCTCGCTAGTTTCGCTAGTTACCTAAGCATGATATAGCATGTTCTGACTGAGAGATTTCTGAAAAAAATCAAACGTACAGCTCTGCTATCACTTCCAACATAAATGAAGACAGGAAACTAAACAGCAGTGACGTTTGTAGGGTTACTGAAGTTGGGCTAGCTGGTATATAATGATGTGCTACGTGATCGCTAGCGACACAGCTATGTTAGCATAACATAAACAGTGAAGCTGGAGGACAAACACTAACACTTTTCCACTTATAAAAGTTAACGTAAGGTTCCTCATGGTTAGAGACAAATGCAATCGCATGGCAGGATGCTGTAAACGGACCAATCTTCAGTCAGGAGAACAACTGAGATAATCCATCCACAATACGAGGTTAGTCATTAATATACTGCAACAACATGGGAATAGAGCAGCTGCCAGAGAATTCAACATTAATGAATCAATGGTACAGAAGTGGAGGAAGCAAGAAGAATGAGTTTAATAAAGTTTGATTTATCTGACTGCTTTGTTTCGCTTAATGTGCCTTATAATCCCGTGCACCTTATGGTCCGAAAAATACGTACTGCACACTGCAGTTTAATGTTGCAAAGCACCTCTTTTTAACTTCAGTGGATATTATACATGGTTATGCTCAGGATATGTCAGCCCATTTCTACTGGAAATGCCTTTTGGTTAAACTTTCAGCAAGGAATTTGCATTTGCACTGTTACATTTTTATAAAGCTTTAATGTACATAAAAACCAGCTTCTTGTTTAAGTGAAAATAAATGGATAGGTTGTCTTTTTGCGCTAGTAATGTTGTGGAGTTGTATTTTGTCTCGCATCAATTATATCGTCAGTTATATCGTTATCGCAAATTTTCAAATATATATCGTGATAAATATTTTTGGCCATATCGCCCTGCTCTCAAAATTCATATCTCGATATTTTTTTAGCTGGATGGCGATATACGATATATATCTCGATATTTTTTTAAAGCCATAAGTAAGAACAAAAAGAGAGTTCTTAGTCAAAGCTGTGTCCCAGATGTCACACAGGCACTTTTATTAACATACAGCGTAGATGTACATGAAGAAATTACTCAAAAATAAATTATAGCATTTATTAAATAATAATGCTCCATAAATAAAAGAAAACAATGTTGTTTTTGTGCATAACAAAAAGCTCACAATTGTGCAGTCAAAATGTAAACTAAAAGACGCTGAGCACAATAACAAAGACAGATTTCACAGCTGCTCTGTTCCCAACTTGTACTGCGTGACTGACAGCCTGGAGTTTGAAATCCGCTTCGAACCACGTCTCTTAACAGGTGCCATTTATGGTCCTTATACACACAATAGGGTAATATTACGTTGAAGCACAGTACGTATCACTCCGCGAGGCTCCTCGGTAGCCGTAATGCTCCGACAATCCATCAAGCGGTGCAGCTCCGTAGCTTACCAAAGTCGTACTAAAACATTTTTTGACAGATTGCTGAGCGCCGTGTACCACATAAAATCGGTTCGCGGTCATCAAGCACAACCAGAATTCATACATAAGGCGCGCTGTCGATTTTGAGAAAATGAAAGGATTTTAGGCCGCTGCATGGCGTTAGCGCGGTTAGCTCGCTAACACGTTGACGCCGTCCAGCCCCACGCACGGGGCGATCCGCGGTAACTCGTTAACGGAGATTTGCCGTGTCCATCTTGTCATTGCCTGCAGGTGAAGCTATGGGGGAGGGGGAGTTGTGTTCAGTGAAGGAGAGGCGAGGCCGAGTAACGTTGCGTAGAGACAAAAGTGGACGAAAGAGAGGCAAACTTGCGGCTCCACAAGTATAATTATAACGTAACATAGACTATATCGATATAAACGATATTGTCACATCTTATATCTCGTATGAAAATATATCGATATTTTTAATAAAAACTCGATATATCGTTGCCCACATATATATTTTTTTTTTTTTAAACCTCGATATATCGCGCAGTCCTAGTTTTCAGTTTTAAGTGCTTCTCAAGTAGTTCTTGTTTTTTGTAAGCACCGGAGTGTGGGCACATGAGTGTGGCATGTTTGCACCTTGCACAGTGCATACACAGTAGAGGAATAGCATGAGCCCCGTGTTAGCAGGAGTAGCTTTACTGCTCCTCATCTGTATCAACACAAGATACAGTCATGTACAGATTACCTGTGTACAGTCAGTGGCCCCTCGCTATAACGCAGTTCACCTTTCGTGGCCTGGCTGTTTCGTGCATTTCTTGGTGTGCAATTTTGCATGTTTTTTTGTTGTTGCTGTTTGTTTGTTTTTACAGCGCATTGTGTTCTGCATCCTGATCGGCTGCAGACAATTGTCAATCAATCTCGTGCTGTGTCTCCTGTACAGTACAGAATGCATTCATCTTGTCAAATTTACAGAAATGTTCGATCGCTAGCAGTGTGGCTCTGCAGTGCTGTACTGTTTGTAAGTTTTCTCCCCAACAAACACAACAACAACAATGTCGACGAAACGTTGTGCACCATCAAAAGCAACCGCGGGTGCCTTTGGTTTCATTCTATAACACTGGACTTTTCTTCGAAGGTTTGAACTTCGAGAGTGTTCAAACAACAGAGAAACGTGTGAAAATGTTCATGTCTGTCTGAGAAAAGTGTATAAAGTGGTGTAGTGAGGGGTTTTACAGCCTTAAAACATCTATAATTATTGTAAAAAAATAAAGTTCACTACTTCGCGGATTTCACCCA